CTCATTTTTGGATTCTTAGAGAAGGCTTTCTGATTAAAGTGAAATCTGAGCCAGACCTCAAAGGATGGATAGAGTTCAGGTAAGTGGAGAGTAGTAGGAAGTACACTTCTAGCAGAGGGGTCAGTATGAGCAGAAGTGTGATACTGAATGAAGTAGCAGGTATGAGAACCAAGTCACCTCCTATTAAGCCAGACATTAAAGAGATTTGCAAAATGTGAAATGATTCCACTCCTTTTACTTTTTTTGAAAATATAGTTAAATTTCATAAAATATTAAAGTAACAAAATATGTTACTTAAGTTAACATGTAATGGGTATGTTATTGTTAAAGAATAAATATTTTTAATTCCTCAGTTTTAATTTCGAACAAAGCAAATCTTGATGGATATGACCCATATAAACATAAGCTCTTTGGAGTCCTCACTAGTTTTTAAGAGTATAAAAGGAGTCATGAGACCAAAATATTTGAGAATTAATATGCTAGTCCATACACTATATGAAGTGATGCTTCTGAAACTAAAATGTAGAGCAACTATGGAAAATGTGGGAACACCCTTGTGGCCCTAGGTGTGGAAAATATTTGGAGTCTTATTAAAAACATGTCGCCTGCTTATACAAATAAGGAAAGTATGAGTAACCAGGGTCTAACTTTTTTTGTGCTTTGGTGGGTCTGTCATGGTTGTTGGACCTAGCGACTCAGGCAGTTTAAAATATGTTCTAAACCCTGGTGTGGCTAATTATAGTAGTGATTTAAAAGGGTGAAATGCTTACTTCCCATAGCAGGAAGTCAATAGATAATATATCTATACCTGAAAAATCAAGAAATGGCAGTGTTAGCGTGTTATTTATAAATATGGAGGTTAATATCAAGAGTAAAAGGAAAGAGTTAAAGTGGTTGTCTCTGGGGAATAGATATTGATAACGGAAGGGAAGAGTGAGGCCTGGTGTTTTTCACACCATAAACCTGAGAGTGCTATTCAATTTTATTTACTTTTTTTTTTTTTTAGGCTGCATTGGGTCTGTTGCTGCCCACAGGCTTTCTCTAGTTGTGGTGAGGTGGGGCTACTCTTCGTTGCGATGTGTGGGCTTCTCGTTGCAGAGCACAGACTCTAGGAATGCGGGCTTCAGTAGTTGCAGCACATGGGCTTAGTAGTTGTGGCTCGCAGGCTCTAGAGCACAGGCTCAGTAGTTGTGGTGCACAGGCTTGGTTGCTCTGCAGCATGTGGGATCTTCCCGGACCAGGGATCGAATCCATGTCCCCTGCATTGGCAGGTGGATTCTTATCCACTGCGCCACCAGGGGAGTCCCTACTTTTTTAAAATGTATTTTTATTAGTAAAATGCACAAGTCAGGTGTGCAACTCAATGAATTTTTACATATGTATGCAACCATGTTAACTACAACTCCAATCAATGGTAAACATTTTTTTGTCTTCTGTCACCAGAGATTAATTTTACTTGTTCATACAAGGCTACTTTTATTCAACATAATATTTTTTAGATTCATCTACATTGTTCATATATCAGTAGCTCCTTTTAATTTCTGAGTAGTATTCCACTGTATGAACATAACACTATTTGATTCTCTGTTATCCTGTTGATGAGCATTTGGGTTTTTCCAGTTTGGGCCTACTATGAATAAAGCTGCTATGGACTTATGTTTTCATATCTCTTAGGTAAATACTTAAGGGTGAGATTACTGGGTCATAATGTAGGCATTATTTAACTTCATTAAAAATTACCATTTTTCAAACTAGTACCATTTTACACTCCCATTAGGAGTGTATAAGAGTTCCAGTTGCTTCATATCCTCACTAGCACTTGGTATTGTCAGTCATTTTAATTTTAGCCATTCTAATGGATGTGTAGTAGCTTTAGTTTCATATTTCATTGATGAATATGACCTTGAGTACCTTTTAATGTACTTATTGATAATTCATATATATTCTTTGGTAAAGTGTGTGTCCATAACTTTTGCCTATTTATGTTTGTCTTCTTATGATTGAGTTGTAAGAGTTCTTTATATATTCTGGATACCAGCTGTCAGAAATATGTATTGAAAATATTTTCCAGGGACTTGCCCAGTGGCACAGTGGTTAAAGAATCCACCTGCCAATGCAAGGGACATGCATCCGAGCCCTGGTCCGGGGAGATCCCACATGCCGCGGAGCAACTAAGCCTGTGCACCATATCTACTGAGCCTGCGCTCTAGAGCCTACGAGCCACAACTGCTGAGCCCGCATGCCACAACTACTGAAGCTCGCATGCCTAGAGCCTGTACTCCGCAACAAGAGAAGCCACTGCAATGAGAAGCCCACACACCGCAACAAAGAGCAGCCTCGGCCCACTGCAACTAGAGAAAGCCCACGTGCAGCAACAAAGACCCAACACAGCCAAAAAATAAATAAATAAAATAAAATAAATAAAGAAGAAGATATTTTCCGGTCTGTAGCTTCTTTTCACTTTCTAAATGGTGCTTTTTGTTGAACAGAAAATTTAAATTTTGATGAAGTCATATTTAGCAATTTTATCTGTTATTATTAGGGCTTTTTGAGAAATCTTTGCTTAGGTTATAACACTATTTTACTTCTAAACTACCTATGTGTACAACTTTCGTTTCTAAAAATTATTTTTTAATGTGAAAAAAGAAACTGAGAGCATAGTTCTAGTCTGTTGCCAGTTATTTCTAGTTACCATCCCAGCCGGGAGGCAAGAACTATGAGATAAAGAGCAAAAATAAGTGTTTTGAAAGAGCTGAAGCACTGTAACATCTCAGTGTCTATTGTTATTTGTTTCATTGTGATGATTAGATGACAAAACTCTTAAAAACAAACCAAAGCTACTGGGGGTAGACAAAATATTTTTAGGTTAAGGTTGGGGACTGGATAGAAACATCGGTGGTGGCTATCAGCAGGAACAGATAAGGAGGGGAAATTAAGATGAAGACTGGAGAGACTTCCCTGGTGGTTAAGAATCGGCCTGCCAATGCTAGGGGACACGGGTTCAAGCCCTGGTCCCACATGCCGCGCAGTAACTAAGCGCGGGCGCCACAACTACTGAGCCTGCGCTCTAGTGCCCGTGCTCTGCAACAAGAGAAGCCACCGCGATGAGAAGCACTCACACCGCAACGAAGAGTAGCCCCCGCTCACCGCAACTAGAGGAAGAATTTGTGCAGCAACGAAGACCCTACGCAGCCAAAAATAAATAAAATAAATAAATATATTTTTTAAAAAGTGAAGACTGGAGGGGAACCTGAAAACCCAAAATAAATTGGTAGTTAGAAAAAGTGTTAAAGGAATAAAAATGGGGGACCAAAGTAAAACAGTTTTCATGTGAAAATAAATTAAGGAAAAACTTCATTTAAATTGGAGTCAGGAAGCCCTGAAGGAGAGCTCTCACGCATGTACCACTGTTACAACCTGCATAACCAGCAGGAA